GCAGTTGCAGCAGCCGCAGCAGCCGCCGCAGTCGCAGCCTTCGCAGCAGCCGCAGCAGCCGTCGCAGACGCGGCAGACGAGTGTCCTCCCGCCGGGTGGCCCGGCGCTGGCGGTGGTCGGGCGCGTGTGGTGTGCCGAGTGGTGGTTCTGGAGGCGTGCGTTGTCAGTACCAGATCCAGACCGGTCCTCGCCGCGGCTTCGTTTGCGGTAAGATCGGTCACTCCACTCCCCGCGTCGCCTGGACGACCTCTTTCGTCAGCGCTTCGGCCCGTCGCCAGACCTTCCGGACTGGCACAGTTTGCTTAGTCGTAAGATTCAGATTTTTGACATGGACATGGATGCCATTGTTTCTGCTCTGCATGTGATGTATGCTGATGACTCTAGTGTGCTTCCCGCTTATTACTCACTGTCGGCTAGTGTAGGTGTGCCTAGCTTAGCCTCCCCTGCTGCGTCAGGCGTAGGATCCCCTGCTTTGTGTAGTCTTGGTGCTTCCGCCGTCGTTCCGTCGCCAGACGCCTCTGCTTCGCTTTCCTTCACCCTGGACTCTGGCGCTTCCCGGTGTTTCTTCCGCGACTTCACCACCCTGACGCCGCTTCCTGTTCCTGCTGCCGTTTCTCTTGCTGACCCCTCCGGCGGTCCGGTAGTCGCCCGCAGTTCCACCACCCTTCCCTGTCCGGCGGTTCCTTCGGGCACTCTCACAGGTCTGCATATCCCCTCGTTCTCCAGGAACCTAGTTGGTGTCGGCTGCCTCCAGGACCTTGGCGTCACCACTACGTTCCCTGGTCACGAGCGGTATGCTGTCTGTACCGAGGCCGCCACTGGTGCCCCCCCTGTCCACGTTCCCCGGGACCCGGTGTCCGGCCTGTTCACTCTGGACACCGTGACCCCCCTGGCTGGAGCGCTCACCCAGGTTGCTGCTGCCTGCTCCTGTCGGTCCCTCACTCACCCGACTCTCCTTTGGCACCACCGCCTAGGTCACCCTGCGCTCCCACGTCTGCGTCACATGTCCCAGCACGGTCTTGTCCTTGGTCTCCCAGGTTCTCTCCCCGCGTTTCCCTCCTCCCCAGCCCCACCTTGCACGCCTTGTGTCGAGGGTCGGCTTCGCCGTGCCCCTCACTCCTCCTCGTTTCCCCCTACCGCCGCGCCGCTGCAGACCCTGCACCTGGACGTCTGGGGCCCCGCCCCCGTCCCTGGGCCGCGTCGAGAGCGCTACTTCCTTGTGCTTGTCGACGACTTCACTCGTTACACCACAGTCTTTCCCCTGGAGCGCAAGGCCGACGTGCCTGGCGCTCTCATCCCCTGACTTGTCTCTGCGCGTGTCCACCGCGGTCTCCCTGTCTTGCGTCTTCACTCCGACCGTGGTGGCGAGTTTGCCTCAGGTGTCCTTGGTCGCTTTTGTCGTGCGGAAGGGCATCACCCAGACGTTCACCCTACCGGACTCCCCACAGCAGAATGGGGTCGCTGAGCGACGCATCGGTTTGGTCATGGAGGTGGCTCGCACCTCCATGATCCATGCCGGTGCACCCCATTTTCTGTGGCCGTTCGCTGTGCGCTACGCTTCTCACCAGCTTAACTTGTGGCCGCACCCTCAGCAGCCGCAGGTTTCGCCGACCCGTCTTTGGACTGGGTCTCCTGGTGACGCGTCTGCGTTCCACGTCTGGGGCTGCCTTGCTCACGTCCGTGCCTCCGGCACGGACAAGCTCACTGCCCGCACCCTTCCCTGCGTCTTCCTCGGTTTTCCCCTTGACGCGTCCGACTGGCACTTTTACCACCCGCCGTCTCACCGCTTCTTTCACTCTCGCGACGTCACATTTGACGAGTCCGTCTCCTACTACCGTCGCTTCCCCCACCGCGGTCCCCCGGTTACCCCCCCCTGTTCCTGGTCACTCCTTCCCCGGTAGTCCCTGCCCCTCCTCCTCCTCCTCCCCGTCCTGCCCCCTCTGGTGTGTCCCACGTCACCCCCCTTCCGTCGGTAGACCCGGTTGAGGAGTCTTCTGACTCTGGTGGCCCTGCTGCGCAGTCCTCGCCGGCCGCCCCTCCCCCGGCGTCCCCTCCCCAGTCCCCTCCTCCACCGCCTCTGCCGCCGCTGCAGCCGTCGTTGTCGCTGCCGCCGCCGCCGCCGCCGCCGCCGTCCCAGCACCCGTTCGCTGACTCTGGGGGTGCTCGTCCCGGTCGCCCTGGGGGTGGTCCCTCTGGGGGTGCTGGTGTGGAGTGTGTCGGTGGTAGCCGAGGAGCAGCTTGCGGTCCAGGTGTCGTCGTTGTGCCGCCGCAGCAGCAGTCCCCGCCGGTGTCAGCCCTTCGCCTGCTCGGCCTTCCGTCCCCTGACCCTGCGGCTGTTCCTCTCCGACCGTCTCCTCCTCTTCCCGTCTACGGCCCTGTGTTCCCTCCGCCGGACTCGTCCCCGGCCCGTCTTCCCCCTCGTTCCCCTCCTGTGTCCCCTCCCCTGTCTCCTGACCCGACTCCTCCGTCGCACGTCTGGTCTCACCGTCCCTCCCGTGCTCGTCCTGCCTCGCCTGTCTTGCGCTCCCACCCTATGTTGCTTCGTTCCCACGCGTCTCGTCCTCCCCTTCTGCCGTCGCCTCCTCCGTCCTCCCTTGTTGTTGCACCCCCCCCGCTGTCTGACTACCTTCGTGCCGCTCGTCCTCTTGTTCCTCGGGTCCTTGCCTCTCTCGTTACCGACCCGTCTGTTCCGGTCTCGTGCCTTGACGCTCTTGTAGCTGCGGTCGCTGACTTCGCCTCTACCCGCCGCCTTGACTACGCCACAGCTCTGGTCTCTGACCCTGCCTGTCCTCCGTCTGTCGGGGGTGCTCCTGCCCTTGGCAGTGACGTCCTGGAGGACCGCCAGTTCGAGCTTGCTTTCCTGTCCGAGGCTGCTCCCCATCTCTGTTCCATGCTGCTAGTCCCTGAGGGTGACCCAGACGCTTTCGACATCCCGACCCCTCGCACTTACGCTGAGGCGACCTCGGGACCTTGGGCCTCGCAGTGGATAGCTGCCATGGAGCAGGAGATGGCATCTTGGAGATCCACCGGCACCTTCGTCGACGCAGTTCCCCCGCCTGGGGTGAACGTAGTCGATGGCCGCTGGCTCTTCAAGGTGAAGCGCCCTCCTGGAGAGCCGCCTGTGTTCAAGGCGCGCTACGTGGCTAGAGGCTTCAGTCAGCGTGAGGGGGTGGACTTCTTCCAGACCTTCGCTCCGACCCCGAAGATGACTACTCTTCGGGTTCTGCTACACCTAGCTGCTCAGCGCGACTACGAGCTTCACTCCCTCGACTTCTCCACTGCCTTCCTTCAGGGCAGCCTACACGAGCAGGTCTACTTGCGTCGCCCTCAGGGCTTTACTGGCACCTTCCCTCCTGGGACCCAGTGGCTCCTGCGGCGCCCCGTCTACGGCCTGCGCCAGGCTCCCCGTGAGTGGCACGACACTCTCCGTGCTACGCTTGCTGACCTGCAGTTCTTTCCGTCTTCCGCAGACCCCTCACTCTTCGTTCGTGCTGGCCAGACTCCGTTCTACATCCTTGTTTACGTTGACGACCTGGTCTTTGCCACAGCAGACAGGGACGCACTGGCCTCCGTGAAGGCAGAGCTGCTGAAGAGACACACGTGCACTGACCTTGGAGAACTGCGCCGTTACCTTGGCTTGCAGATCTCCAGGGACAGAGCAGCGCGCACCATCACCCTGACTCAGTCACACTTGGTGCGCCAGGTCCTTCAGAGGTTCAGCCTTCAGTTCTCCTCTGCACAGCCCACCCCTCTGCCTGTAGACCACAGACTCTCCGCTCCAGTGTCTGAGGAGTCGGTTGAGCCCAGCGGCCCCTACGCAGAGCTGGTGGGTTGCCTCATGTACCTGATGACTTGCACTCGCCCAGATCTCGCATACCCTCTCAGCATCCTGGCTCGCTTTGTGGCCACAGGCAGACACCGACCGCAGCACTGGTCTGCCGCTAAGAGGGTTTTGCGTTATCTTGCTAGTACATCGGGCATGGGGTTAGTGCTAGGAGGACGCAGGCCAGTGGTCCTTACTGGACACACCGACGCTTCGTGGGCAGACGACGCCGGACACTCAGGTCTACCCAGGGCTACTGCTTCAGCCTTGGCTCAGGTGCCGTCTCGTGGAGAGCTACCCGCTCCTCGTCTGTTGCCCAGTCCAGCTGTGAGGCCGAGATCTACGCTGGTGCCATGGCGGCACAGGAGCTCCGCTGGCTGACCTTCTTGCTCACTGACTTAGGTGAGCGGCCTAGCTCTGCCCCGGTCCTGTTCGCTGACAACAGGGCCATGATCCTCCTGTGTCAGGAGCCTCGACTCGAGGGCAGAGCGAAGCATATTCAGCTGCGATACTTCCTCCTGCGCGAGCTACAGCAGCGACGCCAGGCTCGCGTAGTACACTTGGCCTCAGGTGCCAACACAGCTGATATCTTTACGAAGGCGCTTGCGCCTAAAGATCATCAGCGGCACTGCGTACAGCTTGGTCTAGTCCTTGTAGCCTCTCACTTGCTAGGGCCTTGACTTTGTACTGCCCTTTATATGTATACTCAGACTGGACTTGTGTCCTCTACCAGTGGCTGGACTAGTAGTGCCGCCCTGATCTTGTTCTTGCCTTGTCTGTACTCCTTCTGACTGGTCTTTTAGACCCTTGTCTCAGAGGTTGGACTAGTAGTGCCGCCCTGAGCTGCTTGTTCAGGACATTCCCCTATGCAGTCTAGGGGTGTGTCAAACATGTGTATTAGTTATGTTTGCATAGACTGTATAGGGTCACCTCTTAGAGGGTACAATATTTAGGTATATCTATCTGTACTCTCCCACTACTCATCATTCACTTCTCTCATTCTGATACGGAAGGCTGAATTGCGTTGGGGTGTTTGGGCTGAGGATGAGGCACGCTGGTGTTCCATGCTAGGTTGGAGCCCCTGTATTTTTGAGAAAAATAAAAGCATTTTCTTTTCCGTGAATACATCTCATATGCCTTTAGGAGATTTTAGGCAGGCTGACAAGCCTGGGGCCTAAGGAATCAAGGTTGTATGCCGTCGTGGTACAAGGGGCAGTGGTGTGATACCCTGTGGTGTGACGTGACTTGTGAGGGAGGGAGGGCCATTTATTGGAGGCATCGATCTGGTGCCTCCGTCACCACTCCTGGGTGCCCTCCCCAAGCCCCTACCCTCTTTATTTGCACACTCCAAACCAAACTCTCATCTTATCAGAGAGAATACTCCCCGCTTGTTGCCTCCTGTCTGTTACTTCACCCCTGCACTGCACCCCTCCACCTCCCCGCTCGGGTCACCACAGCTACGCTGCCATGCCGACCTTCACCGCCCCGCGTTACTCCTTCCCAAAGAGCCCCTCGCGCCGCTTGGCTCAGCGATTAGCACAGCAGCCGACGATGTAGACGACGAGCAGCAGCAGCAGCAGCAGCAGCAGCAGGGACACACCCGGCACACGATGAGCTTGGACGCTCCTCAACAGCCACCGGAGCCACGCTGACGGCTCTCACCGCCCCGTGATACACCTTCCAGAAGTGACATTTGAGTCGACTCACACCTCGTCGCGTCACGCCTTCCTGGAGTGCCTTCATCGTCGTGTTACACCTTCCCGAAGAAGCCTTCTCGGCGCTTGGCGCTGCGGTAGGCGCAGCAGCCGAAGATGTAGACGACGAGCAGCAGCAGCGAGACGCCCAGGCACACGAACGCCACCATGCGCCACTGGTCGCGCAGCGTCTTCAGGAACCCCGCCTTGCACGTGTCGCACTCGTAGCACAGCCTGCTCACCTCGCTGCCGTACAGCAGGCAGTCGCCGGTGGAATTGCCGGCCAAATTAGACAGACCCGTGGAGTTGACTGCGGAAGCGAGAGCTGTGGCGGCTGCGTCAGCAGAGGCATTGGCGGGGAGGGCCACGCGGGAGGTGGCGGAGAGGGGCGCGGATGGGCAGGACTGGGGGGGTAGCAGCAGCCAGCCTGCGGGAGAAGAGGGGGAGGGGGGGAGAGGGAGGAAGACGACTGTTGGAGGAAACGGTAAGTCTTATAATGAACCGATGGAGGCACCGGAGCCTGGATTACTGATCTCATTGCGAGCCAGGTGGTCGCACCTGAATGGCGGAGAGCGTGGACGACGCAAACGTGATGTTCTGGTTGAGCACGGCGCACGTGTTGCCCGCGGCGAGGCACGCCTGGATGGGTGCCCACTTGGCCTGCTCCGTGACCAGCGTCTGCAGCCACGAGGAGAAGTCCGTCGTCCGCCACGACCCGATCGCCTTGTTCGATACCGCGTCCGCCGCGCTCTGATTCGTCACCACGAATGAGAAGGCTGCCACGTGACAACGAATTGAGCAGGAGAGGAGACGGCAGGATGTGGCACATGTGAATGGATGCTTTTCTGAATGGACCATGTTCAAAGCGAGAGCTCTTGAAGTTGGTTTCTAATGAGTGAATAGCGAGGGTGGGTAGGGAAGCACGGGAGTTCCTACCGGTGACTCCGAGGAGCACCCATATAGCGAGGAAAACTACAGCGAGGTAGATGAAAAGTAGCCACGTGATGTCGTTGACGGCGCCGATGAATCCGGCGAGAGCCACGACGCACAGGACGCCGCCCACCACGAGTAGCGGCATGCGCAGGAACTGCACGCACTCTGTGGCACCCGCTCTGCGCGTGGGCGGGAGGAGACATGGTAACGATTTGACATTTCAATCCGAGTCGAGTCGGCAGGAACTGCACGCACTCCGTCGCGCCCGCTCTGCGGGTGGGCGGGAGGACATCATGGTAACCAGGTGACTTCTGAATCGACGCCGAATCAGAGATCGGCGGGATGCGCAGGAAAGCTGCGAATCACCGCTCCTTGCGGGAACTGCGCGCATGACTAGCGGTCATCCATCATCACCATTTCGAATTGTGAGTAAGCTGTATCAAAGCTGCAAGGAATAGGACCATGAAACGTTTTATGCACCTATTGCGCGTCATCCATAACCACCCGACGCTTATCTATGACCACTGTCCGATAAGCATCTGCGAGCAATGGAGCACGCATGATTACTTGAATGTCATCCATAGCCCCGTTCCGATGAGCACTAGCGACAGCAGCACGACCAGCGCCGTCGATATCGCCGTCAGCGTCTTCGCGACACCCATGAAGCTTGATTCGGGTCGGAGACGACAGGAATGGCGCACAAGCGAATTGAAAGTGACAATACGTGCGATGGCTGCTGCCTGACTGAGGAGGATTATGACTTCGAGGTTGGCTGACAGGAGCAGGCAAGGAGGGTCTAAAATGCAGGAGGGCGCCGGATTTCTCTTTCTGAAATAAGAATCACACTACTGGACGTGAGAGCTCGTTATCGTTACTGTAAATACTAGATACCCGAGGAAAGGAGCTCAGGGACTAGCAGGGCGGAGCATTCCCAGTGCCACTGCTGCAATGCATTCAAGGCCCTGATGGAATCTTGATTTGCATGCGCTGCGAGAAACATTGGTGGTTGCGCGAGATTCATTCGAGGGGGCGCGCAATTATTGGAGGTTCAGTAGCTTGGAGTTGTAGAGTTGTAATTGGGAGGAGTGCTCGAGATTCAAGCGAGGTCATTCTGCTCCCAGGCGATGAGTTTGCGACAACTGTTGCGACTTGGTGCGCGACGACCGCTGTTGACTCTCGCCTGCTGAAGTGTGAGAGTGAAGGGGTTACAGCAATAATCGCGAAGCTCCAGACTTCGACTGGGCGAAGAATTGCGCATGAGATGCACTTTACCGTGCGCTTTCCCTTATAATGTAAGGAGAGCATCCCTTATGAGAGCTCTCTAGGAGCAGATCTCTCAAATATCCCACCCTAAAACACACCCATCCACTAGTCGCATTAATCTACTATGCCATTGCATGTTGGTGCTCTTATGGGGATGGTTCCGAGTCCTCTTAGTAGCAATATTTCAACACAAAAAGTGGAAGCGTGGTACGTAGCTATGGATTCCTTTACAGAACAGTCTTCTCCAGGATTGCAATACAATTGGTTTCTACAGGAATTTTGAAACAGGCTGACGAGCCTCATAACCATTCCCTAGCACCCTAGGGAACATGCTGTGATCCAGGATACCCTGTGACCTCGGAAGGGAGGGCCATTTATTGGAGGCATTGAGACAGTGCCTCTAAGCTTGGTTGGGCGCCCTCCACTACCAGCTACACTCCTCCTCATTATTTGGACTGTCTAAAGTACTTCTCTCCATAAACCCCCCAGTTGGTGCCTCCTGCTCCTCCATCCCTCCTTTGCCCTCTACTGCTCCGCTACCAGATTCCACCTCCTCGTGTTACACCTTCCTGAGATGACTTCTGCTCGCGTCACACCTTCCTGGATTGAGTCGTGTTACACCTTCCCGAAGAAGCCTTCTCGGCGCTTGGCGCTGCGGTAGGCGCAGCAGCCAACGATGTAGACGACGAGCAGCAGCAGCGAGACGCCCAGGCACACGAACGCCACCATGCGCCACTGGTCGCGCAGCGTCTTCAGGAACCCCGCCTTGCACGCCTCGCACCCGTAGCACAGCCTGCTCGCCTCGCTGCCGTACAGCAGGCAGTCGCCGGTGGAATTGCCGGCCAAATTAGACAGATCCGTGGAGTTGACGGTGGAAGCGAGAGCTGCGGCGACTGCGTCAGCAGAGATGTTGGCGGGGAGGGCCGCGCGGGAGGTGGCGGAGAGAGATGCGGAGGGGCAGGACTGGGGGGGATAGCAGCAGCCAGCCTGAGGAGGGGGGCAGGGGTGGGAGGGGTGGGAGGGGTGGAAGGGGTGGGAGGGGTGGGAGGGGCGGAAAGGAATGAAAACGGAAGAGAATTGGGGCAGTGAGAGAGGTCGCTCTGCCGTTAGTAGCTTCCGAGACAAAAGAGCGACCATACATGAACCGACGAAGGCAAGCTGGACGCACCTGAATGGCGGAGAGCGTGGACGACGCGGACGTGATGGTCTGGTTGAGCACGGCGCACGTGTTGCCCGCGGCGAGGCACGCCTGGATGGGCGCCCACTTGGCCTGCTCCGTGACCAGCGTCTGCAGCCACGAGGAGAAGTCCGTCGTCCGCCAGGACCCGATGCCCTTGTTCGATACCGCGTCCGCCACGCCCTGATTCGTCACCACAAACGCGAACACTGCCGCGCGACGATGGGTTAGGGATTCGGGGAGGGGCGGGGAGGGCGGGAGGGTGAGCGGAGAGCAGCACTTTGGAAACGTGTGCGAAACCAGAGCTCGAAAAGATTATCTTGAATAAGCGAAAAGTGAAAGGGGAGGGAAGAAAGTGCTGGATCGTAGTACCTGTGAATCCGAGGAGCACCCATATAGCGAGGAAGACTACAGCGAGGTAGATGAAGAGCAGCCACGCGATGTCGTTGACGGCGCCGATGAATCCGGCGAGAGCCACGGCGCACAACACGCTGCCCACCACAATGAGCGGGATGCGCAGGAACTGCACGCACTCCGTCGCGCCCGATCTGCAGGTGGACGAGAGGGAGAGACGCGATGAAATCCAGTAAGCTGCGAGATGGATTCTTCTCCGCGTATGCACCGATTAGCGGTCATCCAAAAACACCTGACGCTCGTTGTGTGATAAAGATCCTTAACTAGCAGCTGTAGTCCACGCATAATTACCTGGTTGTCATCCATATCCCCGTCCCGATGAGCACTAGCGACAACAGCACGACCAGCGCCGTCGAAATCGCCGTTAGCGTCTTCGCGACACCCATGGAGCTTGATTCAGGTCAACGACGACCAAGAGTATTCCACAATAAAAAATAAATTGGACGGACCAACCACGGCTGGAGCCTGACAGAGGAGGAACGAGATGCTGGAGGTCTTCCGACTGAAACGGAAAGGGAGGCTGAAGAAGCACCAGCGCACCAAATTAGTCACGCTCTAGCCCTCAAATCGCACGACTATGCTTGAGCGCCCGTTCTCATCACTGAAAGTACTCTCGCGAGGGAAGAAGCCCTGTGCAGGAGTTTCGGCGTGAAGGGTGGAGAGAGGAAGGCGGACGAAAGGCAGTGACGACACGGCAAGCAAGCACGGAAAGAGCGAGCTAATCACCTTCGAAGGGGATGAGATTAGCAGGGAGGTGTGTGCCTCATGGTCAGAAAGATGCATTCTAGGCCCGTTTTGAACCTTGATTTACACGCGCTGCGGGATGCATTCGTTCAGCCTTCAAGATTTGAGCGCAATTATTGGAGCTGGTCAGGGGTTGTAACAGGGTAGAGCTCTCGAGGCTCGACAGAGGTCGTCGTGCGACCAGGCGAAGATTTCGCGACGCCTGTCGGTGCGCGACGAAGACCTGGTTGGTTCACGCCTGTTGCCGTGCGAGAGACGGGGTTACAGCAATAATTGTGAAGTTGCAGGTGGTGTTGACTGGCTGAATTCTCGTGAACGAGGTGCATTGTACAATGCGTTGCAGATCTGGTAAGGTAATCTACATCAATGTTATATGAACACTTCTTGTGAAACCTTATACAAGAGCAAAACGAAGCATGATCGTCTGATTTACCATATGAGAAATCCCGTGTTATCTACTCCCAAACGCATTAAGCCCCGCCCAACAAACAACCAATCCACAAGTGACTAGTCGTACAGATCTATGTTAGTGCCTGCTTGTGCCTCCACATCTTCATCCTCGTGTTGATGTGCCACTGGTTCAGGTGCCATGGGTGGAGGTGCCCCCTGTGGAGGTGCCACTGGTCTTGGAGAGCTTTGCGGTCTCTCCTGGGAGCGTGGCGGCGTTTCCATGTACTCATCTGGACCCACACTCCTCCCGCCGCCCTCCGATCCCCAGGTCTCGCTTCGCACATGCCCTTCCCCTTGCTCAGGTGTCCTCCCTCCCCTTCCCCTACCCGCCCGCCCCCTCCCACGGCCCCTCCCTCTCCCTCTCCCCCCACCTCCCCGCGGCGTCCTTGCCTCCATGGGAGGCGGGTTGCTGCCACTCCAGGTCTTGTTTCTCGAAAGATCCGGTTCGTCCATCCCGTAATCACTGTCTCGGGGTGATGGCATTTCTCCGATCCTCCCGTACCCCTGATGCTGATTCATCGGGCGCCTGGGCCCCTGCCCCGACATGGGGCGGGTAAACTGCGACCCATCCCTGCCGCTTTGGTAAGTGTTGGCCCTCTGGAACTCCGGATCCCCGCCAGAGCTCTGGTAAGTATTCACCCGATTGAATTCCGGCCCGCCCTGGCTCTGGTATGTGTTAACGCGGTTAAACTGGGGCCCGCCTTGGCTCTGGTACGTGTTGACGCGGTTGAGGTGGGGCCCCTGAAAGCTGGCGGTGCGGCTCATGCTGATGCTGCTCCTGTCGTCCAGCAGCCGCCTCTTGTCATCATCCCTCTTGCCCCGGCCGCACTGCGTGCAGCACATGATAAACGCCACCACCAGCATGGTACTGGCCACGCCCACACTGAAGTACGCCTCGGTGAGGAAGTCGGACTTGAGCTGCTGTATCACGCCGCCCTTGCAGTACTCGCAGCTGTAGCACAGCTGGCTCGACTCCAGGCTGAACGCGCTGCAGTTGCGGGGGTCGCGCCCGGGAGCGGCGGCGGGGGGTTTTCGGTGATGGGAGGGGCGTTGGTGGTGGGGAGGTCGAAGGCGAAGGAGAAGTAGGTGGGTAGCGAGGAGTTCACGAAGCAGTTCTCAGGGGGCAGGCAGCACCCCGCCTGGCGTTTTGGGGCGGAGGGAATGGGAGAATGAGGGAATGGGAGAATGAGGAAATGGGAGAATGAGGGAATGGGAGAATGAGGGAATGGGAGAAAGCAGCAGTTGGGGTTGAGGCATGCGTGCACAGCAAACATGGCGAAGAAGCGTTCCTTCAAGCTGCTGGTGCAATGTGCCCGCATGTGCTCCCCGCGCATGCGCATGTGCACCAGCAGCAGCAAGCATTCCTTCAAGCTGCTGGTGCAATGTGCCCGCATGTGCTCCCCGCGCATGCGCATGTGCACCAGCAGCAGCAAGCATTCCTTCAAGCTGCTGGTGCAATGTGCCGCATGTGCTCCCCGCGCATGCGCATGTGCACCAGCAGCAGCAAGCATTCCTTCAAGCTGCTGGTGCAATGTGCCCGCATGTGCTCCCCGCGCATGCGCATGTGCACCAGCAGCAGCAAGCATTCCTTCAAGCTGCTGGTGCAATGTGCCCGCATGTGCTCCCCGCGCATGCGCATGTGCACCAGCAGCAGCAAGCATTCCTTCAAGCTGCTGGTGCAATGTGCCCGCATGTGCTCCCCGCGCATGCGCATGTGCACCAGCAGCAGCAAGCATTCCTTCAAGCTGCTGGTGCAATGTGCACGCATGTGCTCCCCGCGCATGCGCATGTGCACCAGCAGCAGCAAGCATTCCTTCAAGCTGCTGGTGCAATGTGCACGCATGTGCTCCCCGCGCATGCGCATGTGCACCACCAGCAGCAAGCATTCCTTCAAGCTGCTGGTGCAATGTGCACGCATGTGCTCCCCGCGCATGCGCATGTGCACCAGCAGCAGCAAGCATTCCTTCAAGCTGCTGGTGCAATGTGCCCGCATGTGCTCCCCGAGCATGCGCATGTGCACCAGCAGCAGCAAGCATTCCTTCAAGCTGCTGGTGCAATGTGCACGCATGTGCTCCCCGCGCATGCGCATGTGCACCAGCAGCAGCAAGCATTCCTTCAAGCTGCTGGTGCAATGTGCACGCATGTGCTCCCCGCGCATGCGCATGTGCACCAGCAGCAGCAAGCATTCCTTCAAGCTGCTGGTGCAATGTGCACGCATGTGCTCCCCGCGCATGCGCATGTGCACCAGCAGCAGCAAGCATTCCTTCAAGCTGCTGGTGCAATGTGCCCGCATGTGCTCCCCGCGCATGCGCATGTGCACCAGCAGCAGCAAGCATTCCTTCAAGCTGCTGGTGCAATGTGCCCGCATGTGCTCCCCGCGCATGCGCATGTGCACCAGCAGCAGCAAGCATTCCTTCAAGCTGCTGGTGCAATGTGCACGCATGTGCTCCCCGCGCATGCGCATGTGCACCAGCAGCAGCAAGCATTCCTTCAAGCTGCTGGTGCAATGTGCACGCATGTGCTCCCCGCGCATGCGCATGTGCACCACCAGCAGCAAGCATTCCTTCAAGCTGCTGGTGCAATGTGCACGCATGTGCTCCCCGCGCATGCGCATGTGCACCAGCAGCAGCAAGCATTCCTTCAAGCTGCTGGTGCAATGTGCACGCATGTGCTCCCGCGCATGCGCATGTGCACCAGCAGCAGCAAGCATTCCTTCAAGCTGCTGGTGCAATGTGCACGCATGTGCTCCCCGCGCATGCGCATGTGCACCAGCAGCAGCAAGCATTCCTTCAAGCTGCTGGTGCAATGTGCACGCATGTGCTCCCCCGCGCATGCGCATGTGCACCAGCAGCAGCAAGCATTCCTTCAAGCTGCTGGTGCAATGTGCCCGCATGTGCTCCCCGCGCATGCGCATGTGCACCAGCAGCAGCAAGCATTCCTTCAAGCTGCTGGTGCAATGTGCCCGCATGTGCTCCCCGCGCATGCGCATGTGCACCAGCAGCAGCAAGCATTCCTTCAAGCTGCTGGTGCAATGTGCACGCATGTGCTCCCCGCGCATGCGCATGTGCACCAGCAGCAGCAAGCATTCCTTCAAGCTGCTGGTGCAATGTGCACGCATGTGCTCCCCCGCGCATGCGCATGTGCACCAGCAGCAGCAAGCATTCCTTCAAGCTGCTGGTGCAATGTGCACGCATGTGCTCCCCGCGCATGCGCATGTGCACCACCAGCAGCAAGCATTCCTTCAAGCTGCTGGTGCAATGTGCACGCATGTGCTCCCCGCGCATGCGCATGTGCACCAGCAGCAGCAAGCATTCCTTCAAGCTGCTGTGCAATGTGCACGCATGTGCTCCCCGCGCATGCGCATGTGCACCAGCAGCAGCAAGCATTCCTTCAAGCTGCTGGTGCAATGTGCACGCATGTGCTCCCCGCGCATGCGCATGTGCACCAGCAGCAGCAAGCATTCCTTCAAGCTGCTGGTGCAATGTGCACGCATGTGCTCCCGTGCATGCGCATGTGCACCAGCAGCAGCAAGCATTCCTTCAAGCTGCTGGTGCAATGTGCCCGCATGTGCTCCCCGCGCATGCGCATGTGCACCAGCAGCAGCAAGCATTCCTTCAAGCTGCTGGTGCAATGTGCACGCATGTGCTCCCCGCGCATGCGCATGTGCACCAGCAGCAGCAAGCATTCCTTCAAGCTGCTGGTGCAATGTGCACGCATGTGCTCCCCGCGCATGCGCATGTGCACCAGCAGCAGCAAGCATTCCTTCAAGCTGCTGGTGCAATGTGCCCGCATGTGCTCCCTCGCGCATGCGCATGTGCACCAGCAGCAGCAAGCATTCCTTCAAGCTGCTGGTGCAATGTGCACGCATGTGCTCCCCGCGCATGCGCATGTGCACCACCAGCAGCAAGCATTCCTTCAAGCTGCTGGTGCAATGTGCCCGCATGTGCTCCCCGCGCATGCGCATGTGCACCACCAGCAGCAAGCATTCCTTCAAGCTGCTGGTGCAATGTGCACGCATGTGCTCCCCGCGCATGCGCATGTGCACCAGCAGCAGCAAGCATTCCTTCAAGCTGCTGGTGCAATGTGCCCGCATGTGCTCCCCGCGCAGCGCATGTGCACCAGCAGCAGCAAGCATTCCTTCAAGCTGCTGGTGCAATGTGCACGCATGTGCTCCCCGCGCATGCGCATGTGCACCAGCAGCAGCAAGCATTCCTTCAAGCTGCTGGTGCAATGTGCACGCATGTGCTCCCCGCGCATGCGCATGTGCACCAGCAGCAGCAGCATTCCTTCAAGCTGCTGGTGCAATGTGCCCGCATGTGCTCCCCGCGCATGCGCATGTGCACCAGCAGCAGCAAGCATTCCTTCAAGCTGCTGGTGCAATGTGCACGCATGTGCTCCCCGCGCATGCGCATGTGCACCAGCAGCAGCAAGCATTCCTTCAAGCTGCTGGTGCAATGTGCACGCATGTGCTCCCGCGCCTATGTTGGAAAAAACGCACAGCAAGCTTTGCGTATTGCGTATATACGCTTGCGAATATACGCAATACGCTGATACGCTTGGAATACGCGATACGCAATATCGGGGCTGCCCGGCAAAAAAAAAAAAAAAATCAAAATTTTTTTGCCGAGTTCGCGACATCGCGAACTCTCAGAAATTTTCGCCCGCGGTTTTTCGCCCACCCTCACCAGCCGTGGACGTGGAGGGAAGGCATCCCGTGTTTGTCGTCCCCCATTCCCGCCATAGTTTAGATCTGAATCACCATCTCCTTTCATTTTCCAACTCCAACCTCTCCCTCCCCTAGCTTAGCTTAGCTCAGTTCCCCTCTTACTTCACCGTAGTGGTCATGGCGTCGTCCACCCCATCAACCCCCCGAGCGTGCCCGCACCTACTAACGATGGCGAGGCTGCCTCCTCCTCCGGCACTGTTTACGTTACGGATGCGTCGCATCCTATTTTTAAGCATTTCGAAACCGCGCTTAATGCGGACGGCAAGACTACGGAAAACCGCCGCTGCTGTTATTGCGGGCACACCTTCAATGGCGGGATGACGCGTTGCGCGCAGCACCTCGCCGAGTGGAACAAACTTCGTCGTCGCGATGTGACCCTCTGCACCGCGGTGACGCAAGACGTGCGCGACGGAGTTAAGGCGCTGTACGAGGCACGAATTAGGGAGCGGGAGGGGAAGCGAGGCGGAAGCAAGCGCTGTCTGCGGTTAACGGCTGCGGCAGCGGCAAAAAGGGGCGCATCACCAATTTTTTCGGTGACGAGTCCGCCTGCCGTAAGAAGGAAGCGGACCGGGCGCTCTGCCTCCTCTTCGCTGGTCTGCGCCTGCCGGAGCATCACGCGGACCACGTCCTCTTCCGGAATGCGGTCTCCGCCATCGCTCGCGCCGGCACTTCCTACGTTCCCCCGAAGCGCAAGTACATCGGCGGTCCGGCCTGCGCGACTGCCGCACCAGTATCGAGGCCGCGCTGGTTCCCATCTCCAGCAGCTGGCGGCGGAGCGGCGTCACCATTGCTAGCGATATGATGACGGACCAGAACGGCCGGCCCATCGCCAACGTCCTCCTTATCAACGACTCCGGAGCAGTTTTTTACTGATGCTGTGGACACAAACATGGAAATGAAGACGGCGGCTATATTGCCGGTATTCTCCGCCCTATTATCCAGCGCGTTGGCCGGAGAACGTCGTCGCTTTCTGCATGGATGGCGGCTCGAACTACGCCGCGGCCTGCAGGATCCTAATCGCCGAGCACCCCCACATCGAGCACGTGCCATGCGCCACGCACGTGCTCGACCTCCTCATGGAGGACATCGGGAGGATGGCGAAGGCGAGGTGCGAGGTGTGGAGAAGGCCAACATCATCACCTCCTTCGTCCGCAAGCACCACCTCACCCGCAACTACATGCGGAGCGATAAGGTAAAGGGGGGCAAGGGAAACAGGTGCTGAAACCGCCGGCACGCGTTTCGGCACCCAATTCATCTCCGTGTCCCGGCTGTGCGAGGTGCGGATGTCTCTCACTCAGCTTGTGCTGAGTGAGGAGTGGGCCAGTTCGGATGGGGGGAGGAAGCCGGGCAGCGAGGCGTTCAGCGCTGCCATACTCGACTCCGACTGGTGGACCAAGGCCCTCAGTTTGTCAACCTCATGCGGCTGCCGTTCATGGCAATGCGCGCCACCGACTCGTCGGCGAAGGGCATGATGGGTCGTATGTACGACCTCATGCTGCAGCTCACCGTTGATGTCGATGAGAAGCTGGAGGAGGCGCGGCTGGAGGGGCTCACCGCTGCGGACGCCAATGCCATCCGCCGCATGGTGAAAAGGAGGTGGGACGGCAGCATGGCGTGCCCCCTCCATGTGGTTGGCCGCATCCTAAACCCGGCCAATCAGGAGGAGGGGATCTTCCCCTCGGACATGGAGTGCACGAGGGTATTCAAAGCCTTCATCGCCCGCCACTACGAAGACAAGAGTTCATGAGATGGCGAGCCCATTCGTGCAACCCTCGTGATGCAAAGACGGCCTCGAGCCTTCATCACTCTGAAGGGCAGCTTCGGGCTCCCCACCGCCATTGCTGATCGTGCCAGTGAAGGAAGGCAGAGCATGGCGCCGCGTGCGCGGTGGTGGCAGTGGCATGGGTCCGACTACCCTGAGCTTGCCGCACTGGCCTGTGGTGCTCTCACAGCCCGTTCAGCGGCCGCATGCGAGCGTAACTGGGCAGTGTGGGAGGCGGTCCACACTGCCAAGCGCAACCCCTCGGTGCGAAAAGTGTCGGACTGTCTATGTGTCCCACAACTGGCACCAGGTCCACAACTGGCACAAGGAGGACGGGGGGTCCTTGGTCCTTCCTGGGTGCAGCTCCGAGGCCCCTGTGCCCACGGGGTACAACCTGGAGGACGACCTGGAGGAGGAGGAGGGGGAGGATCTCGTCATGGAGGACGAGTACCAGTAGAGAACGCCGTCACCAGAGGCAGCTGCAGGGGGAGTGGCAGCGGCAGCACCAGGGGGGCAGGCAGCTGCAAGGCAGTGGGAGTAACAGCAGCAGCAGTGACCAGTCAGCACAGCAGTGGGCGAGAGTGGCTGCAGCAGCTGAGAAGTAGTAGCAGCAGTGATAGCAGTGGTAGGGGCTAGCAAAGCTCTTATGTGACAAATGCCTGTGTTAAGTTATTTTAATGGAGAAAAGAAAAAATCAAACTTGATGCCCTGCCCCCGGGCCCCCACCCCCCCTCTCCCTGCCCCCGGTTTTTTTTCCCTGCCCGGGCAAATTTTTTTGCCTGCCCGGGCAGCCGTATTCCCCGTATTGGACCCCAAATCCAAGCGTTATATACGCAAGCGTAT